CAAGTCCCATCTATATTGGCCTTAAATACTTCACGAGATGGGGCAACCACAGCTTCCCTGCAACTTTTCTGCAATGTTTCACTGCCCTCAATGTAAAAAATTTCTTCCTTACGCTCAGTGTAAATCTACCATCCTCCAATTTAAAACCATTGCCCTCTCTCCTGAAAGTCTTTCAATCTTCCTTATAAGCCTCCCATACACACTGTAAAGACACAGCGAGGTCTCTCAGGATCCTTTTCTTCTCCAGGCTGAACAAGTGCCGCTCTCTCAGCCTGTGCTCATGGGAGAGATGCTACAGCCCTTTCCTCATCCTCAGAGGTCTCCTCTGGACCAACCCCAAAAGCTCCACATCATTCCTGAGCTGGTGGCCCCAAAGCTGCACCCAGTACTCCAGCTGGAACCTCACAAAGGCAGAGCAGAGAGGGACAATTCCCTACCTCTCCCTGCTGGCCACCTCTCTTTTGATGAGATACTGTTGTCCTTCTGGGTTGCAAGCAGACACCGCTGCCTCATGTCCAGCTTTTCATCTACCAGGACCCCCAAGTCCTTCTCTGCGGGGCTGCCCTCAAGGAGTTCTTCTTGAGGTCCATGCTCATATCTAGGATTGTTCCAAGGGCAGCACTTTGCACTTGCTTAGTCAAGCAAATCTCTCCTTCAACCATTTTGAAACAAGCAGTAACATTCATGCAACATTTTGTCAAAAAAAAACCCGAACCATTCAGTCACCACGGCGCACCAAAAATAAGATCCCCTTTATGAAGAAATGCCACTGATGTTTAGCCAAAATCTTAGGAATCGGCACAAAAGAAACAAGAAGCAGGAGATCTGTCCCAAGATATTTCAAACTTCCTGCAAAACAGGTTGAATAAGAACAACCCATTTTAATGGGAAAACAATTGCTACAGCCCAAAAGTGCAGTATTAATTTTGTGTTAATATCAGTTTTTCATCAAGTGTTCATGAAAAATTACAAGTTGCAGACTGTAGACAATGGAAGATTCAACCTTTCTGTTAACTTACTTAGAACAAATGTTTAAACTTTCCTCACACAAAACGTGACTACAGTGTAACTGGGGCTGTGACACAAACTTTACTTTTAAATTGATAATTTCTGTGCAGGAACCAATTTTCAACTAAGTGACAGCATTTCTCCTTCAGTTTTCTATATTCTGCCATTTCAGAAATCAGCACAGTAGTGATAAACAACCCACGGTATCAGAAGCTGTTTTATTTTTTACTTTTGACCACTGCTGCATACGTTATTGCATACGATATGCTATTATTTGGTGGTCAAACTTGACCTACACACTAATGCGAGGCTACAGGACTTCGGTCAGGTGCGTCACAGATGGGTTTCAGTTTGTAATTTCACCGTCTTGGTAGAATTTAGTGTCAAAGGCTTTAGTTCTAAAAATTAAAACAAAAATACCAAATCATCATCTGAAAGGAAGTACCACCTTGAGAACACAAGACATTGGGGTGAAAAAATGCATATGTGTATAGCAAGACACTTGAAGAATTAAAAAAAATAAGTCCATCCATTCCATAATTTACAAAAATAATCATAATAGAATTACAGGACTTAAATATGTTCATCTTTGATATTTTCATGAATATCGATGAAGTCACCTTAAAATGCTAGGTTTACGGGCAATGTCAAGGTAAAATATATAGTGAAGAAAACACCAATGCACACATGAACTTGCCAAGTTTACACAATTTGCTTTGCTTGCTTCCTGGTAAACCTCAAAAGGAATGTTTTCATCCGAACAGCAACTGCAGCTCAGGTCTAACTACAGTCTCTCAAATGGATCAATCCAGCAGACCATGTATGTGTTCACCCTGTATGTATAGCTAGAGGGAACACTTGGTTGCTTGGTAATCATCTTGCTATCATCTCCAACAGGCAGAGAATTTTAGTACATTTCCTCTGCAGTTAGTACAGAAATTATTGAATTTTAGAAGATACTCCGCCAAACTCGGCACAGCTTTAACACTGTGCACTTCAGTACCGCCACTGGTGCTCCTGGCTGATGCACAGCTGTCCTGGGAAGCACCTTCCTGGGATCACTTCCACATTTCATCAAACAAATCCATCATGCCAACCACAATTCAGGCTGACTTTAATCCCAGATGTGATAGCAAGCATCTGCCTGAGAAGGTCAAGTGATATGACTGCTGAGGCAGCACAACTGCAGCTGCTTTCCAGATGAACCACCTACATGGTGTGGTGATTGTACTTCTAAGTACACCAGGGAAGATGATGAGAACAAGCGACAACCTTGCAACAGGTGGGGAACCAGACAATAAAGCGAACTTTTCACAGTGTACAAGAAAGTAGACCTAGCACTTGCTGACTTCTCAAAAAGTACAGAAACACAAAAGGCATGGATGAAGAAAGATGTCTTAAAATGTGCCTAATGACACAAAATTCAGGAAAAAGGAGGGGGAAAAAAAAAAAAAAAAAAAAAAGACAGCACTTTTGCTTATATTTTCCCTTAGCTGTCTTGTTCACCAGTTCCTCCGACTCTGTCCACCTCACCAACATGTTGTCACTTGAAAAGTCAAACTTGCAAACGGAAGCACTATGTTCTTAGCCTCACCCATAAAGGCTGGCAAGATTACTAAGTATTTCATTTTCCATCTAGAAAGGACAGCCTCGTCGATGCTTTTTGCTACATGCTTCACATTTCCTTCAGACCATCTCCCCCCTCAAAAAATATATATCCGGTCATCATTACCACAATCCCAAGAAAGCTGAGAAACAAACATGCAGGACATACAGTCAGCCCAACAAAGCCACTCTTTCAGCCTGCAAGAACACTTCTTCCATGTTTCTATCTTTCAATTCCCAATCACTGGCCTACAGTTAGGCTCCCTCTCTCCAGAGATTATATCACATCCACAGTAAAAGTAAAAATCAACCTACAAACAACAACTAATCCACTTTTTTTTTTTAATATATATAATTTATTTTTATTATTACTTTTAAAGGCACTTACCTTCATTTTTATTGGTTATACAAAGATTTCTCTCTTATATTTTGGAAGAACCACAACACCTATCATTCATATTTAGCCTAATACTCTCAAATAGATTACACACTTTTTTTTTGTTCAAAACACACCATCAAGATCCAAAAGAAAAAAATAAAGATAAACCAAATTGCATTAAGACTTCAATAACCAGACTAAAAAAAATACTGTATTGCATTCATTACAAAGAATATATCCATGAAACAGTCACTCATACATGGTAACTCACAGAATGTTTAGATTACGTAATGTTCAACATTTCAGGTCCACTTGCAGTTGTGTACTTCCCAAGTAAGTATTCACTACATTTAAATTATCTGTGATTTTCATAAATTGCATTACAACATAAAATTTGTCCAAAACAATCAGCAATTTAGAAAAAAGATTGCAAAAAAGACAGTTTGACAGCTTGACCACATGCAAGTCCAAAAGCATCTACAATTTTAGCACCTCCAATAAACTTTGCACTTAACAATGAAACAATGTTGACTGATTTTAAAACTAAACAGAGCAGTTTATCACTTCAGGTGTTTTGAAAAACAGGCATCTGCCCAAGGAACTGCACACCTATCCTGCCTAGCAAGAATGACTATGGTCAACGGCCTACTGGAACCTTTCACAAAGCCAACACTTCCAACACAAGTCAACCAAGCAGTGGTCACGGTTAACTTCAGCCCTATGTCCAGCAAACAGTTTTTCTGGTCACACTTACGCCTATCAAAGCCAACAACCCATTGTTGGTCATTGAACAAATCCAGAAAGATGCAACATTCAAGTACTAGCCACAGCATGGTCTGCAAACCCAACTCTTCCAGCCTGACAGAACTTTTCCTGAAGTCAAAGCAAAGCCGGGACAAATTTCCTCTATGGAGAGCAGTCTCTAAATTTCTTGCCTACTTCCAGGGATCATCCCTTTGAGACTGGCTTAAGCCATGCAATGAGGGTGGGGAAACTTGCCAAAGCAATTAGCCATGATCTATCTGCCTTGGGAACATAGGCCTCTAGTCTTCCCGTCCATCAGTTCAGCACCTCCACTCGGCACTCGACTCGCTTAGAACACCATCCCTCAAAGAGAGCCTTCCACCTCAACACGGGGGTGCAATCCCACCGGTGAGATATGAGCACACCACCAGCACGGGAAGCCATCGCCTTCTGTCAAGTGTCCTGAAGGCCGGTCGGCTGCTTTGACCTTAGCATTCCAGCCCATGGATATAAATATTTTTTACTGAGTGCTGCCGAAATGCCCATTACCCACCAGATAAAAGCGTTTTTGTTTGGTGGAAGACTATTTATTCAACCGAAAGACAAGAAAACGACAACCTCATCTCAGCTCCCAGGGATGACTTCTTGCAAAAATAAAAACAAGGAAGTTAAATCCAAGAGGACCATCATGCTTTTCAATTAAGGGCAAGGATGTGAAATTGACACACTCGGGACAGGAAATTCGAAGTCGTACCCTCCCGTGTCCCCCAGAGCCGACGGGCGGGGGATGTCGTGCGGATCCCCGCTCCCCGCACCGCCCCGAGTTCTCATCGCGGCGTTTCGCACGGCGGCGGCGCACGATGGTGGCACGGGACTCCGGGACGGAGACGGATCGGGGCCGAGCCCCCCCCAGCCGCCGCACGGAGAGAACTCGGCGCGGCGCTGCGGGCTGCCCGGGGGGCTGTCAGGGCGCTCCCTCCCCGCTGCCGCCGGGCCGAAGTGCCGTGCGGGCGGCTGCGTGCCGCGGGGGGGGGGGGGGGGTTGGGGGGGGGGGAAGGGGGGGAGCGCAGGCCACGGGCAGCACTTCGCCGTCTCCTCCGTTCGCTCACATTTCCGTCCTCCCCCGGCGGAACCGGGGAGGGGAGCGGGGCGGGGGGCCGGCGGCTGACGGGGCCCGGCGGACGGGGGAGATCGGAGCTCCACCGCGGGCGGGGCGGGGTGGCCGGCGGGGCCGGGGGTAGGGCGGACGCCCGGGGGCTGTTACCTCGTAGAGTTCCTCGGAAGCCATGCTGGGAGCCTCACAAGGTGGAGTTGGGTGCTGGTTTGGAAATACTTTGTTCCAGTTGGTGTCCGTGTGGCCTCCTCTTCTCCCTCCTCCTCCCCCGTCTTCTCCGTCGCTCTCCTCCTCCTCCTCCTCCTCCTGCTGCTGCTCCTCTCCTCCTCCTGCTCCTCTTCTTCTTCTTCTTCTTCTTCTTCCTCCTCCTCCTCCTCCTCCCTGCGCGTCTCTCTCCAGCGCAGCTAGCAGCTCCGCTCGCTCCGTGCCGCTGAGGTGCTGCTGCTGCTGCTGCTGCTGCTGCTGGCGGCGGGGCTGTGCGCACCGCAGCTGCGCAACTCGCTCGCTCCCCGCTCGCCCTCGCGCTCTCCCCCTCGCGCACCCCGCCGGGCGGGCACGCACGCACACACGCGCGCTCACACACACCCGGGCGCGCACACGCGTGCGGGCGGGCGCGCACACGGCGGCGCGCCCCGCACCCCCACCCCGCTGTCCCCGGCCGGCTCGCTCGCTCGCTCCCTCCCCAGGAACACTAATCGAGCGCAGAGAGAGCGCCACACGTAACCACTCCGCCCCGGCTCCCGCCGCCCCCAGCACCACCATCCTCCTCCTCCTCCTCCTCCCCGCGCTTTGATCTCCCATTGTCCACCCGCCCGGGTCCGCGGGAGGGCGCGGGGCGCGGAGCGGCCGTCTGCGGGGCCGCCGCCCGCTGCTGCGGGACGGCCGCGGAGTTCCGAGTCGCCCGCCCGCACCAGCCCCGCTCCGACCCCCGCTGGGCCCAGCCCGTGGCGAGTGTCCCCGTGCGTTTCCCGGCCCGCAGAGAGTTGGCAGAAGGTCCTTCTGAGCCAAGGACGTGGCGAACGTGCGAGGGAAATGGGCGAGAGGAATGGTTGGTGCTCACGGATCCTTGCCGACCACAAGCCCCAGTCTTGAGTCTGGCAACTGGCTGTGTTTGCGGTGTTAGGGAAGGCCACACTGAGGCCTTGCTGGCATGAAGGTCGAAGGAAAACAGCTGAGCTCTTGACTTTCGTGGGGCCGGCATTAGTTACTCCATGCAACTTGCCACCAAGGATCTCATTTGGGGTGTTCCATGGGGAACTGCGCAAACAAGATGCCTTGTAGTCAACTGCCGACTTGATGGACTGGATGCCTCGTTGTGCCAAGTCAGACATGAAGAGTCACTCCTTCAAGAGCAGAATCTGCAAGGTGGTGTTTCTGGTCTTAAAAGATAGAAGGGTGGGACAAAACCAGTCAGACCAAGCTCAGGACAAGAGCTGAACCATATGGAGGCATTCATCCTGATGTTTCTTACCCTGCTCTGCACCAGGAAGCCTTACTCTACTGCAGAACAGCACAAGTTAAAGCAGAGTTCAACACATTCGTGTGGTCAGCCCACACACTGACTCAACCAAGTCTTGATCAAGTTACCTCTTGTTTTTGTAGATAGCTTTTTTTCTCTTTTTTTCCAAAGGCTTTGCAAAGCATTTCAGATGATCCTCAATATTCTACTTTGATAAACAAGTTTTGAACTGTTGTTCAGCAGGTGTCCGCTTAGAAAATGTTGATCCGTTTGTGAGATTTGGATAAGTTACATAGAAAGAGATGGAAACTCTTTTAGTGGACATCGTTTACCCGTCCATTCTTAGTTGCACATTGTTTGCCTCCTCTAGGTCAATGTTCTTCTTCCAGATGACTGAAAATCCGACCTTATGCGGGACTGCCAGACAGACACTATTTGCATAAATAAAATACTTGCCACCTCTCATACTTTTGTAATTTCTTAACTAGTCTACGGGAAGTTTAGAGCAGACCTATGTTTAAACAACCTCTTCAGGTCTTCAAGACTCGGGCTTAGACTAAGTGTCACCTTGAGCTGAGCATTTACTCACAGTTCCTGGGATGTGTCCTGAATCCTTTCTGACTGTACTCAGCATGCCATCATTATTGTAGTCATCTTTTGAAGGATGTTTTTTAAAGTAATTTGTGCTCATGTTTTGGCAAAGAGATGGCATCAGTGATTGCTGAAGATGTTACTTTGCTTGCAAGGCATAAGAATAGAACACAGAAAGTTCATCTTATTTTTTTTTCTAAGGGTTTTACCATTGAAGTCAACCAGATCTTAGGCATTTTGTTCTTCTGGATGACTAAAAAGAAATGCAGTTCATCAGTATTGTTCTATTTTTAACACTTCAAGGAAACAATAAAAGCTGAGTTATTACTAATTTTTTATGTTTCAATCATCCTCCTCATTTTGTCTTCAGTGAAGGAAGTTCTTCTTTCACACATATTCATTGTTTGCTATGCTATTAATTCCTCTTTGCATCCTATTCTAAGCTTTTGTCCTTGTAGATTTATAAGAATTATCACATGAATTAACCATGCTATTTGATAAAGCAAGATGCTGCTGCTATTGTTCAAGCACCTGACAGGTACCAAGTTTTGTGACCTATCAAAGTTAAGCAGTTGGATTTGGTTACAGTAAGTTTCACAATAGCTTGCTCTCATCTTGCTCAATCTAACAAAAAAATATAAAAATCAAGTTGTCTAAAAGTTGTATGGTGAACTGCCACATCAGCATTGCCATCTTATTTTCTCATGTATTTCACACTTGTCTAATCCAGGAAGCACTTGTCAATTATTGCTATTATTTTTAAAACAGTGTTTTAGCTGTTAAAACCAAACTTTGTAGCAACTTTGTGAATGGCTACAGTAACAGGGCATGTAAACATCTCCAGCGGAGAGGCTGTAAGCAGAACACCAACTGACCAGTCCAGGAAACTGGAAAACTAGGCCAGCTGCAAATCTGAAAGTAGCAGCAAGTGTTCTTCGACATACTTGAAACTAGCTCAGTTAATCCAGTCTTGGTAAGAATCAGAAAATGGGAAAAATGCAGGTAGTGTTAGCATACAGAGCCTCCAGTCTGAAGTAGACAACTGGCTTGGCAGTCTTAGTGAAAGTCAGGACAGCTGTTCTATTTTGCATAATGTTCTAATTTATTGATAAGGTACAGATCATGGAATTACCTTCATTTTGGAAGGTCAACTCCATTTTGATATCACCGTTTACCACCTGCACGTCTGTCAGGATATGAACTGATGATGGAATAGCTGAATTTGAGATTCTTACAGTGGTAGACCATAGCTGGCTAAAAATCTGTATTACTGCAAATATCATAGAAGTCTGTGTTAGAAGTCTACACCATCAGAATCTGCTGTAATCAAGGCATCCCAGCCATATTTGATATGCAGATGTTTGTTCACGTAACTCTTGACATTAAGGTGACTATCAGTTATTAGTAATATCAAGGTGACTGTTTTGTATTTGGAAGTAGGGTTTGGAAAGTAAGTATTTAGTAGTTGAGATGCAGTCAGTGATTAGCTGAGGGATTTCAAAAGATAGGACAGATACTGTTAAACATGATGGTCTACACTGTAGGCATTAATATCTGATCAAATCTTATCACAAAAGCACAGAACAGTTGGTTGGGAACCTCTGGAGGCCATATGGTCCAACCCCTGCTCTAGCTGGGACATGCAGAGCAGGTTGCCCAAGACCACATTCAGGCAGCTTTTGAAGATCTCCAAGGAGAAGACTCTGGCCAATTTGTGCCACTGCTCCATCACCAATGCAATAAAGAAGTACTTTCCAATATTAGATAAAGCGTTTTGTGTCCCAGTTTGTACCCACTGCCTCTTGTTCTGGCACTGGGAACCACTGAAAAGAGCCTGACATCATCTTCAATGCATCCTCCCTTCGGTTTTCTATATACATTGTTGAGATGTGCCCTGAGACTCCTCTTCTCCAGGATGAACTGTTCCAACTTCCTAAGCCTCTCTTCATAGGAGATATACTCCAGTCCCTTGATGACCTTGCTGGTTCTTTGCTGGGCTCTTCCCAGTACCTGCGTGTCTCTCTCATCCTATGCTACTTCATAGTGAAGGAAAAGCTATCCAAAATACTCAATAGGACTAATGGCATGCTTCATCTCATCCTAAATAGATGTCTATGTCTGGCCAGTTGAGTTGCACTCTAAATCTGATAGAATATGTTAACTGAAGTTTTATAGATTGGAAGTATGACACCTGTTCTGCAACTGCCTGAAGAAAAGTGTGGTGGATCATCCAATATCATCCAATTGTTTTTGACCCAAGATAACTGGATGATTTAAAACTACATACTGACCAAGTGATGTCAATAGAGTACATATGAAATATATCCTTTTGTCCCTAACAGCTTTACTTTCATATTTGGATCCTATCTTTATTTGTGCTATAGCTGTTTTGTCTTATAACTCCAAAGATGTGGCTCATCCTTGTACTCAGATCATCTCTGAAATTTCTACTGCTCTTCTTTTGTGCAACTCTTCCTCATCTCTGCCTCTTTCTTTTGCCTTCTAAGTGTTCTGGGATATCTAAGTTAAAAAAAACAAAAAACAAAAAACAATTGAAAATGCTAACGAGAAAGAAAAACAGAAACAATGCAATCACACTGTTCTCCATTTCAGTTTACCCCAATGGTTACCAACAGACCCCAGACATAGATATTCACATCAGAGAGAACAAAATTAGCTACTTCATTAAGTGCCTTGGTTCTATTCAAACTGGTGCTGACTTACCAGTGGAACATCACTCCCTTCCCTTGGTATGGATGAGAAAAACATCCATACATGTTATAAAACTGGTTTGTAAAACAACTGTGAAAACAAAATTCTAGATTAGTAAGTGAGCTGGTAAGAGAGCATGGAGTGAAGCTGAAGAATAATTTCATCCTTGCAGAACTCTTTAAATGGATGATCAGCTGTAAAATTTGCTCATTCTCATAGTGAAAATAATAATCATTATGAAGACCATATCAACCAAAAATTAAATTAGAGAATGTCCTCTTAATTAGAGAATGTCCTCTTAAATGTTTGAAAATAGATACCGTAAGCTAAGAAAGTAGTAGGTTGAGAACTGATGTAAATGTAGGTTCCATGTCTAAAAGATACTAATTCTTCCATTTTCTCTGGAATCTGTAATTTATCTTCTCACGACTAAATACAGTTTTAAAGTCATTAATGTGTGAATAATACAGGCAGTTGAAATTACGTGTTTTCATAGTGAATACAGAGAACTCTACAGATCTTTAAGTAGATATTCCAGTATAGCTCATGCAGGACACACTGATAGTTGCTCATAGAGATTTTTTTACTTTTTTTTTCCCAGGTTATGAGTCGTTTTCTATGGTAAGTATATTTGCAGTTATCAAGAAAGAACAGACTATTCCTTTTGATAGTTTTAAAAGACTAACAAAACAAAACAAAACAAAAAAAACCAAAAAACATTGTTTTTCTTTTCTTTTAGATAGGAAAAAATTAGAAATAGGAAAAAATTAGAAGCCTGACCATCCTTTTTTTACTATAGAAAGGAAAACTGGAAAATGCAGAGGAAAGCCATCTCCTATAGTAATACAAATGCATTATCAAGAATAAAGAATATGAACTTGTTGATCTAACAGATGAATTTTTTGCTGAGTGAAACAGGTCAAAGATATATATATATATATATATACATATTTCAGTTTCAACTTTCAATCCAGTATTTTCCCGTGACTAGAAGAGTAATTTAACATGGTGATCTCAGAATATCAAGTACAGTTGTGATGTCTCAGCAAAAACTGCTGAGAGAGTGGCACAGATCATTCTTTCCTCCAGCTCATAGAGAAGCAACACATTGTCTGAAGAAGTTAATGTAGAAACAACCAGGATTGGGATCATCTTCTTAAGTCTGATCACCCGGTTCTTTGCTTCTCCTTCACACTGGGAATATAGATCTAAGAAATTCTGTTGTGTTCACCCATCACATCAGAGGCGGACGTTGGTGGTACAGCAGTAGAGGTGAAACCTTCCCACCAATATTCCATTACATGTCGTTGCTGTGTGACAGACGGCAGCAGAGGGGCAGTCTTGACAAAATGGTGTCTGACATGGAAGCATGGATGAAGCGAAGACGTGTGACTGAATTCCTCCATGTGGAAAAAATGGTGCCCACTGACATTCATCAGCATTTGCTAAATGTTTATGGAGACCAAACAGTGGGTGTGAGCACAGTGAGGCAGTGGGTGGTGCCTTTCAGCACTGTCAACAATGACTGCAGGTCACGTCCACTGGTGCAGTTATTTATGAGCACAGTATGCAGGCTCCTCTTCACTGCTGACAAAAATGCATAGCTAATAGTGCTGACTACACTGAAAAATAGTTTTGTAGCTGAGAATTCACTCTATCAAACTTCTTTGTATCTGTTCTAGTTTCCATGGAAATAAATATAAGACATTACTTTTGGAGCAACCTACCTCCCTGCCCAGGGAGGTGGTGCAGTCACCGACCCTGGGGGTGTTCAAGGAAAGACTGGATGTTGTGTTGAGGGACATGGTTTAGTAGGAGCTATTGGGAATAGGTGAACGGTTGGACTGGGTGATCTTTTAGGTCTTTTCCAACCTTAGTGATTCTGTGATTCTATGATTCTATAAAAAGTATGGTATCTATTACTTGATTTCCCTTGACAGGCTAGGGGAAGGTCTTCTGAACAGTGGATTAAATTTGGACTTTCTGTAATCACAATAAAGTAGACTTATCTGGTCCACTGTAGTGTAGCCTTGTTCTATCATTACAACTCACAAAAATTATTGCCATGTGTAAGAATATGATGCTCATCAGTTAGGATTAGTGCTCAAAACACTTTTTATAAAGGCAAGGCAAGGCAAGGCAAGGCAAGGCAAGGCAAGGCAAGGCAAGGCAAGGCAAGGCAAGGCAAGGCAAGGCAAGGCAAGGCAAGGCAAGGCAAGGCAAGGCAAGGCAAGGCAAGGCAAGGCAAGGAAAGGAAAGGAAAGGAAAGGAAAGGAAAGGAAAGGAAAGGAAAGGAAAGGAAAGGAAAGGAAAGGAAAGGAAAGGAAAGGAAAGGAAAGGAAAGGAAAGGAAAGGAAAGGAAAGGAAAGGAAAGGAAAGGAAAGGAAAGGAAAGGAAAGGAAAGGAAAGGAAAGGAAGAGCTAACTGCCAGTACAGGGTGGGGAAAGTGTCTTACTTGACACTGCCAGTACAGGGTGGGGAAAGTGTCTTACTTGACTCAACATTAGCCTTCAAATTTGACTGTGAATTCAATGTAGTCTGAACTACAACAATGTTGTCTTCTGTAAAGGAAGGGGTGATAAGGAATCTTTACTGGGAGAAGTTATGTAGTTTCTTGGTGGTGGTGGTGGTTCCTGAACAGTTCCTTTCTGGGGAATCGTGTTCCTGTCAGCATGTAGCTTAGCAAAAATGTGATAAAGTAGTTGAGGAAGTTATTTGAATGCCTTTCATTTTTTTCCTTATCTGAATTGTCCATAGGGCTTACTGATCAGACTGGTGATCCATAGATAAATTAATGACCTCTAGCAATAACCATGGTGATCCTAAAGATCAAAACTGTGCTGTGGTTTCTTGAGATCTATTTAGACTGCCACTGGAAACAAAATTTATTTCATTTCCTAGGGATAGACTATGACAATATGATCCTTTTACATGGAATCTTAATTCACCTTGACCATTCCTCTCATGTCAATTCACAGATGGAGTTTTTTTCAGCTGAGAATCAGTGAATCTGAAATTGCAGATTCATGCAATTTTCATCTTTTCAGGTAGCCCCCACTAACAAAAGCTGGCACATGCACGCAGTCAATAGCCTTGTTGTTTAGATTGGTGTCACTGGAACAAAAGGCCTAGTTCCAGAAGTTTGTCTCCATTAGGATAGGTTGAATTCTACTGGATTTGTTCTGTTAATTAGTAGCAGCTGGTAGCTGGGGATCTTTTGGTATCATTATTCAAGTTTTGCTGTCAATAGGCAAGGGTAATTCACTGGCAAACATTTTGTTTTGCCATCAAGCCTCTATGTCACCCTGGACTGCGTTAACTGTGCATCAGAAGGGGGGCATGGATGCATTTCTATCAATATTTCTACAGCAACACAATGAGGAATGATTTTTCTCTAGAAGGTCAAGAATTAACACAGGCACAGTGTACATTTTTTATTTTGGCATTAATAACTTTCATGTTGCAGTATTATATTAATTTTTCTTTTAAAGAAGGCCCAAATCCATGTCTAATGAAAACGATAAACTAATTAAATGCCAACCATGTTTGGGTATTTATGTCCCCTTCACTCAATAAAATTCAACCGCCGATCACTTCTGTAGGAAGGAACTCTGCTCCTATATCTCTACCTTTTATTCTTTACCATCAGATCACTGTTCAGCAGTAAGGAAAACAAGTAAGCAAGCGAGATACAAGGACACTCCAGTGAACACTGCTACAAAGAGTTAAGCTGCTATCAAGTTTTACTGTTGGCACAACCCAATAATGAGAAGCTACAAAAGCTATTCAAAGAAGAGCATACTTTTCATGAACATTGTTCTGGGCAAAAGCCCCAGGCAGAATCTTTTTAGGTAAAACATCCCTTTAAAGAATTCATCAAGAGGCATGTATCCAACCTGAAAAATTGTAGTCCAAATGGCTTAAACTCAGTGAAGATAACAACATAAAAATATCTTATACTAGAAAGTGTCAAGCAACATTAACTGTAGGCATTACTACCTGTATTGCTTATAATAAAAACAGTATAACATAGCATGTAATGCACTCCCCAAAGACAATCTGAGATCAGCACAGGCATGCATAAACACTGCACAGCATAAAGATTTTCATAAAGTAAATAGGGGATGATTCTGCTGCTTACAAATCGCATGGTTATGATTAGTTACACAGGTCATCCCTTGGGAGTGTAGGAGATACCATCTTTATATGTGACATCACAGTGTTATATGCTTTCGATGTAATACATACCCCAGGGAAGAAGCATATTTTTGAAAATGTGAAAAAACAGTACTGCAATTGTTGTTTATACCATTTGTACCTATAAAGGCCGCTTTAACTAACCTGAGTGAGCTAGTTCAAAGTTCACACGAGACAGAGGCTTAAGAGTAATACCTGTAAAAAAACTCAGAACTACCAAGCATTATTTTGTATATGGATTTTCTACAACTACAAAGGCTGGAACACTGCCAGTTCCCAAGGGAAAAGAGATCTTATTAACAGCTTTGCAGAATTGCAAGGAAAAAGACTTGTCAACCATCAAAAATATACCACAGAAAGTATCACAAGTCCGCTGTATCTCTGTTGAAAGTTTATAAGTCCAGGCTGGAGAACAGTGACTGTTCATCTTCCAGTCTGTATGCAGAGAATTTGTCATGTGGAACACATCAAGAAAACTGGAGATGGTGTCACAGAATAAATTTTCCTGCTTCTGCATGAAACAGGAGAACCTGAGGGCCCAGGGTCTACTCCAAATCCTATTTACTTGTTAGTTCTTGAGTATACTTGGAATGTACTGAAGGAAATTGTTGGTAAGTTTCATGTACTATGAGGAAACAGATTTATTTTTTTACATTTTATATTCCATAAGTCAGGTGACAAAAATCTCATTGACTTCAAAGGATCAAAGTTTTATATAGAAGCTTCTAAATGTCAGCAAATATAATTTTACTACTTTACTCTTGGACAAAGAATGTACTGTATTGAAGAGGAAATAAACTCGAAAGGGTTTTATTTAAGTTTTTTTGCAGAGTGTAAGTTTCAGAGCAGACAGTGGAATCACCATTATCTTTTACCAGATTCCTGACATTTTGTTTTCAGTGTTACAAGACTGACATCACCTCTGGCTCTTGACTTGTCTGATTGTAGGCTTGTGTTTGTGTGCAATCTTGCTCTTCTTTTATTTTTTGTTAGGAGGCAAGTGTTATCATGTATGTACTAATGCCTATCATCCTGTAGATCTGACTGTTTCAGGCACCTGTTTTTCTTTTAATATTGATGAGCAGCTCCCATAAAAGAAGGAATGTTTATTTAGTGGTGGAAATAAAGCATGAGAAAAAAAGGGGATTTTAGGAACACCGAAGAGCTTAAGCGCATATTTTGTTTAGTTTTGGTTAAGGTCCAGATGGAATCAATCCAATACATAGGGATAGACAGGAATAACATAGTGATGTTGATAGTCACCAAATGGCTTCTTACAACTCTCCACCACCCCAGACAGGCAACCTCTAATAACTGACACAATCAACAAGATACAAGAGTACAATACAAAACAACAAAAAGAGTACAATACAAGAGTATTTCAAGTCAAATAACCCGACTTACATGGTGAGTTTAAATGGGGATATCAATTAAAGTTAAGGGAATCCTCATCCACAGAAGGTCAACTTGGGTGTTCAGATGTATGCTTCTGTTACCTAGCAGAAATGGAAAGTGAAGATGTACTTCACAACCCGAAGGTCAATTATGTTCAGTACCTTTCATACAGTTCAGATATATTATATTAAGGACAGATCCAAATACAGATTGAAAAAATATTCAAAGGCACACCCACATTTGTTACAGCCACATTCCTATTACATTATGTAAGAAGAAAACAATATCTGGCAAAAATAAAATAAACAGAGGCACATGAATGAAACAGAATTTGCTACAATAATTTCATATTTATCTGACATTCTAAGGTCTGTTAAAATATGTGCTTGGTGTTATCATGAAGATGTGACATCAGGAAATATAATACTAGCTTACTTACAGAAAGCTGAAGAGGAGAACAGCTGTAAATATGTCCTCAGCAGAGATGAAATAATGCAATAGTTAGTGAAGATAAACATAAATTTTTTTCAAAGTTCTCTTTCCACCTTATTATTTATTCTGTTCCAGAGAAGTCTTTGCTAGCTTTCATTGTGGTTCTTTTTTCAGTAACATAAAAGACAATTACATGCTTTATGATGAAAATGTAGCAGTCAATAAGGCACATCAGTGTTAAGTAGGTTTATTTTCTGTGCAACTAGTAAGGAGAATTTTCAAACATGTCAGCTGATTTGGAATCTCAGGGGATGAAGGAAATTTATGAAGGTGAAGATTAATATCCATTCTCTACGCTATTCCTGATACAAAGAAAAATATTCAAGAGTGTTTGCATTTAGATGAGTGTTAGGATCCTTGGGTTTTGAAGAGCTGCCTAATGTAAGAATTTTGTTTGACATTTTAGTATTTTAGAGAAAATATTTTTTCTTTTCAGTGGAACATAAACTTTAAAGCAAGACATCTATGCACATGTGCAGATTTTCCCCTCCACTATAAATAGTTTCAACATGTAAACTAATGCTCTGCTGATTCAGGCTTCCTGAAGAAATCCAATTTCTATTTAAGTCTTGTTAGACAATTATAAATGCTTTTGGGAAATGAAAACAAAAATTAAAGAGTCTCCACGTGTATATTATTTCAGAAAAATAAACCCCATTCCTGAAGAAGAAGATAACAATCCTGATAATCGATGGAATTTCTAGTTCTCATTGTTAAGTGTCCAGCAAGGGAAATGTTGGTAGGAGATTAAAATACTTGGCTTATTGTTAATGGTAATCAAGTGATTCATGCAAAATCTGACAGGTCAGTCAGTCAGCTTCATGATAATTCCTGTTATTTCTTGGGGTGCTCATTTAAAATTTTCCTTCTGATTGTGTCTTCCTTGGTTCTAGCTCTGAGACCCTGCCATTTGTGAAACAAATCCTGTAATCTAGATTCAGAGTTTGTTTGCTGTTATCTCTTTTCTCCTGCATGCTATAGGATCAAACAAATGGATCCTTACAGTTTTTTGGGTATTGCTTCTTTGTCTGTTGACAGTAGTAGTCACAGATTTTAAAAAGACTTAAAATTGGTCAGCTTTGACTTCCATTTCAACTAACAGTCCCAGTCAAATCTCACTGTGAATAGAATTTTCCTAAATTTTGAGGGCCTTACATGTTCCTTAAGGAGCTATTTCTTGTTTCCTGGCTTTTGCTGCTGGCTGTTATTCTTACTTAAATGGCATGAAATTCACTTAATCTTTTCACTTGTAAGTGAAATTCCAATTTTTGGATTCTACACTGAACAAAACTTATTTTTTTTCCTGCCCAGATACTTTCTTTTCACTTTACTTTCTGTTCACTTTAGACTGCAGCATCTTAAACAGGAAGTGACTATTGGTTTGATCTAAGGAGTAAAGCCTATAAAATCCCACAGACACTGTTACTCTTTAAGGTTCACTAACAATGCCATGTAAACCCATTCTACCACTACAGTAGATGTTTTCACTCAGAAAGCATGTCTTAATTTAGTTTCCTAAGTTCAAGTAGTTTAGAGGAGAAATCTACTACTCTTTTCACAAACCTAGCTGAAGAATTCAATGTTGAAAAATCCCTTTCAAGTCCATTTTGGTATAGATAATTTGTAGCTAAGACTCCTCTCACCTGTCTTTTTTATACTCTTGCTATGGGGTTCTATCATTCACACTACCAAGGTACTAAACATATATATTCCAAAGAGCCTTGGTATTTTTTGTTTCTCAGAGTGTGAATAATGTCAAATTTGCTCTTTGGCGATATACTGTTGATCTTTCCTTTCTCTTTAGACATATTTTACAAGCGCAGGTGTGCACAACATGTTTGGTGACACAGTCAAACTATTTCACAAGATAATGCCTTCACAGAAAATAATGACACTTGGCAAAAATGTCTGTTCATTTTTTCTGATATTTTCCCTGGAGACTCTGCTAACCCATTCAGTGAAGCAGCAATGCCCACAGAATGTACTCCTAGATTGGAACTCAACCTTTCAAATGTGTCAAAGTAAATTTTTTTTTCTTCTAATTAAGTGGAATCCCACACTCTTGGAGCAACCAGTACTGAAAGAACCAATCTTCTAAAATTAAATGACATTCACAGATAGTTCCACTATATTTTCAGTGGGCCTCAAGTAAGGCTGACATTCTGTGCACACTGCTGTCAAGTACTTGCATCCAGAGAAGGCCATAAAGATGATCAGGACCACTTATCCTCTGAAGAAAAGCTGAGGGAGCTGGTCCTGTTTAGACTGGAGAAGACAAAGGTCTGAGAAGACCTCATTGCAGCCTTCCAGTACTTAAAAAGAACTTACAAACAACAGACGATAGACTTTTTGCATGATCTGTTAGTGACAGGACAAAAGGAAATGGTTCTAAACTGAAAATGGGAGATTTAGGTTAGGCATTAGGATAAAAATTCTTACTCAGAGTGTGGTGAGACACTGGAACAGACTGCTGAGAGAAGTGGATGACCCATTTGTGAGGGTTCAAGGATAGGCTGGATGCGATCTTGGGCAGTCTGATCTGGTGAGTGGAAACCCTGCCCACAACAAGGGGTTGGAACTGGACTGTCTTTAAATCCCTTTCAACCCAAGCCATTCTATGTATGTGCAATTCTATGACTCTCCTCCTTATCCACAGTAAGTCTGACTCTGGCTAAAGCACTTCACAACTTCCACAAAATTGATTTGACTGCTTTTGTTGTAGGATTCTGTAATAACAATTTAGAGGATGTTCTTTCAAGCAATACACATTCAGTTTCAGTGATCCTCTGTCACAAAATAAACATATGAAGCTAATATCATAAATTACATAGGCCATATTGACTATATAAACATATATATTCACATATTGTATTGGTTTCAAAACCACAACAAAATGAGAATCTTCCTCAATTAGCACACCAGCACAATGCTCTCATGGAAAGAGATGCTAAGTGATAATCTAACTCGAAAGGTGACTCTTCTGCTGGAAGCCAGTGCTAGCAACAAAGTTTGAATCAACCTCATCATTCTATGTCAAGAATGAAATGTCACCAAGATCTAGAATCTCCTACCTACATTTCATCTAGTTGATTTTTGGCTCTGAAAACTGAAACTAAACCATAGCTATCCATAACAATGATTTCTTACAATCTGCAAAATTCTTTGAGGATATGAACACAGCAAAGTGGAAAAAATAAACTATACAAACAGCTCACAATCATCCCATCATACTGTTGCAGGTTCAAACTGGAATCCTCCTACTGATCAGTCTGCATGGCTTTGGTGATATCAAGGGTAGCAAATATGTTGGAACCATCTTATTTGTGCTGCTAGCTGGTCCAGTCTTCTGACATGAGGCAGGCTGAGTTACCATCACCTATCAAGCCTCTTTGAGAAACTGGATCTTTTCTATCAATGCTACCAATGTGATAATTCTCAGGTCAATTCTATAAATGTAGCTTCAGTCAAATTAATTAGACGCATATACAAAATCTTCAAGTAGATGGCCTGTACAAATGAAGTGTTTCTTCCCTGAGTTTGCTTAATTTGTTTTTAATTACCAAACCAAAGTCCACTTCCTACAAAAATAGAGTTATTATTATTATTATTATTATTGCAATTCTTTGGCATTTTCTTTTGTCAACTATTAAAAAAATACATTAACATTTATACAACTCAAACAAATTCTAAGCACAGCTTCTTGAACTCCATACATGGAATTTCAGGTAAAAAATATATATTTTAAATAAGTTGATTAGTACTGACTTTTCCCTTTTGCCTTCTAAGTGGTGGAAAAAAAAAAGAAGTACTGTGGCATTATTAGTAATGTATGGAGACATGATAATTAATGCAATACAATGAGTTCTTTTAGCTTTGCAGGTGCCAAAAAGCAACCTGGAGAGATTATTCAAGAATACTTGCTGTGTTCAGTTTTATTGCAGTAAAACTGTATGATGTAACTGCCTTTCATTTTACTGTATTTCAGAAATTGTACTTTTACTTGTCCTCTTTCTCTCTTCTGAGATTCTTGACTCTACCTAAACTGATACTCAAAATACCACATGTATTACTACACATGTATAGAGGATATTTTAAAAAATTGTGAAATTTTCCAAAGTCAGGAACTCTATGTTGCCTTAATTGGACACTTTTATGGGCATTATGATACTGACTTCAGTCATCGAATAACATATTTTTGGTTGGTTTTGCTTTTCTTCTTTTTTCTAAAAGGCAACTTTAGTAGTAACTTCCCTTCATCTCAGAATTCTTGTTTAATACAGATCTTTTCATTTGCAGTTTTCTAGAGAAATAAACAAGCAAACAAAAGTCCAAGACATGTAGCATCATTTGGATTGCACTACTATCAGTCATTAGCAGAGATGTATTTTTTAGAGAAAGGAGATTGCTGACACTGAGTAGCAGTTAGTAGTAGTAAGATATCCACCTCCATATGGCTGACAAGCAGAGAGTAAAGAGGGCATAAATTCAGGATTGGTGTAAGCAGATCTAACACCATACAGTCAAAAAAAATTTGGGACCACTGGCATTCCCTGCATTCCCATCTGTCTCTGCTGCAACTTGCACCCTTTTAACTTTCCTTGGCATGTAA